ACTCTCTGTGAGCCAAGCATTCAAACAGGAGTCTATTGGGGACAATTACCACATCCACTAATGACAAACTAGTCTCCTTTCAAGAAGGAAGTGGTCCATGTGGCTAACTTGCTACCAAGTGACTCACTAGTTACCTAAGAAAATAGTGAGCTATCAGGAGCTCAGTGTTGGTCTGTGTTGCTAGCAGATCTGGCATTCAGTAGCAGATGTAGCCAAGTAAGCCTGGCTGACTGGTGGTCCGTGATATCAAACCTGAGAATAACTCTCATCACATCACCATGGCTACTTTGTTCTTGGGTCCTGTGCATCCTGGTCTTATGTCAACTTGGTACACAGAAAACCAAATTAATTAAGGAGACCTTGTTTAGAATATGATTGCATAAAATCTGGGATTAAGGAACTTTCTTCATTTGTTTTTTGACGAAGGAGGGCCCACCCCACTGTTGGTGATTGTTTCCCTGGGATGGTGGTTCTATCAGAAAACAAACTGAGAAAGCCAGAGGAAGCAAGCCAGTAAGCAGCACCTCTCCAGGACCTCTGTATCTGCTCCTGCCTACAGGTTCTTTCCCTGTTGACCCTTCTCCTAACATTCTTCAATAATAAACAGCAATCCGTTGGTAAAAGGCCAAATATACTATTTCCTGCTCAGCTTGCTTTTTTGTTTAGTGTTTCATCACATACATAGAAAACCCTAAGTCAGACAAGATGTTACCAGCGTAGTGGGGTATCTCTGTAACAGACATGATATGTTTGGGGAAGGATTATAGAAGGACTTTGAAACTTTGGGCTAGGCAAGCCACTGAGTGTTGGGAACTCGGTGGGATGTTCTGTGGGCACATGGAGGATAATAATGCTGATAGCAGTGCAGTGGATGGAGGCCTGGCTTGTGAAGTTCAGAAAGAAGTTTAAAGACTCAACAGGCACCCATGGAAGAGCAAAATGGCAGAATAGAAAACAGATTTTATTTGACAGAAGGGTAGGGTTTTTGAAATGATTCAGTCTGTCTAGGCTGAGGGGAACCTTTGTCTGAGGTAGCTGATATTCCTGGGAACATTTGCATGGCTCCTGGTAAACAGAAACTAACCAAGGTACACAGAGACTTGCTTTTAGGCCTCTTTTTACTCAGTCAAAATCTGTCTCCTTAGAACCAACACTTTCATTTTTGGGACAGTAGCTTTGAATCAAATCCCTGCTTGCTGAGTCTAAACCAAATGTTTATTAAAAACCCACAGATCTCAAACTAAAGAGACTAAGAGATACTTTCTTCCAGAGCCATTTTCTGTGATAAGCAACCTGAGAACACAGATTTGGGTTGACCAATTTCCTATGCCAACAGGAAGCAGTTTCACAAGAACTTTATAATCAAATGAAGAAAGTCACAAATCAAGGCAAGCTCAAAATGCAGTGGTGAGAACATCAGAGAGACAGGTGCATCAAGATGGGGGAAGCCTCTCTGCAGGCTGAAGATGCTATCTGTTGGCATTCTAATGGTTTGTAGGATGTCTATAATTAATAGAGTCTATTGTCACAAGGTTGAGTTCTGACAAGAGGGAGGTAAACGTGGCTGTTCCAGAGAGGAACCACTTGAAGAGTCCGAGAAAAAGAATATCAGAATGTAGATTCCAGAAATAAGAATGTAGAAATAAAGAAATATAAAGTTGTAAGTCTAGGAGAATGAGAGCAGACTGTCAGCAGCTTTCTCAGCAGATAAGAATCAACTATTAACAGTGGGCAACTCCGCTTTACAACCCATAGCTCTATTTACAAGTCCAAAGCATCTTTCTGCAAACTGAGAGCTAGCCTACGGATATGAGCTGAGTCAATGTTCAGGAATAGAGAAATGACCTCTGGGTTACGCATTATCCCTGCTATGTGAAACTGGCAACATCAAAGGGGAGCTCAGAACTTCAGTTAACACTGCCTGGAAGTACCAAGGAAAACAACAGATTAAGTACAAACTAGTTTAACTAAAAAACTTTGTTAATGGAGATGATAAAATAAGCCAAACTGCATATGAGTTTTATCTTGAAATTGTAAAAATTTCTTTGTTTAGACCTAGTGCTTAGTGCCCCTACAATATAAAGGTGAGTTCAGAATGCGGTCTTTGCAACAGCCTTACAAAATCCATCTCAGTGTGGTTTCTGCTAGCTGATAAGCTCTTTGTGCCCCATGGAGATTTTTTTTTCAATTTAACTTTTTATTTTTTCCTGGAGGCTGGTTTCTGGAATAAAGTTTGCTGCTGGTTATTAGACTTTGGTTGTCTGTTCCCATCTTTTCACGACTCCCCTGAACCCAACATCCTTAGCTCAGGAGAAGGTAATTAGCCTCTGGTCCTGCAGTGTTCCCATCTCTCTCCAGTACTGAAATTCAGATCAGTCATCCAGTCTCTGCAGTCACAGAATCCTTTCAGGGGTTCCCCTTCAAGACAGACAAGGCAGCTTCCCCTCAAATGTCTGATGACAAAGATGGCAGAGTGAGTGTCTATTTAGATTATTCCCATTGGTACCAGTCAGGACAGTTACACCAATGCAGGTTTGGTTTGTCAGCATTGAGGCCGTTGTTTATTAACATGTGAGTTTCCCTAAAGAAATCAGGGAGCATGGATAGGACACAGAGTTGGTTTCTTTTCAAAGTGACTTAGAATACAGAACAAATGTTAGCTGCAGCCCAACCTGGTGAGAAGTGGGGCAGGGATTTCCACACTCTCATTGCTGCGGAACACTGGATATTCAGTAAGCATGTTTACAACACTTTTTGGAAATTTCCTGTCAGGTGGTTCTGGGAGCAGATGTCTGACATGCCCATTACCAGAAATCATTCTATCTGCCCATTTCAAGGCTGAGCACACAGCACAGCTTGTATGTGCCAGCATTTCCCAAGAAGAGGGAGGAGACCATGGTGGGAATAAATAGGCATCAGTGTGCAGTAGACAGAACCAAGCAGTAGGAAGGCAGCAACGACCAACATCAGAACTCAGTTGATCCAGAAGCCAACAGCAGGCATCAACTCTCAGGTAATTTCAAGGATTCCTTCCCTCAGGAAACAGAGGAATGACCTTTTCAGGACTGTTTGGTTCTGGTGATGACCTGGAGTCTTGATTTGGAGGAGGGATGATGAGTTGTTCCTGGGTCACAGAAGTGTAATCAGGGGACATTTCTGGGATACACATAAATCTTCTCCCTAGTCTGGGTCTTCATGTCTATGGAAGATGCAGGAATCATGAGCTTTGCTCTTGTAGACAGAATGGAGCCTGTTGCTTTCTGCACTCCACAGGGAGGAAGTACTGAGACCTTGTCTATCTTGCCTGGGGCTGAAGGAGCTAAGGAGAGACAGGAAAGTCCCTCTGAAGGAGATGCCTTCCGCACCATGCTTACAGTTGACAGGAGATGCCTGGGCATCAGGAACGCACTTCCCTTGTCGATCCCATGGCCAAGCAGAGGGTCTTCAGCCTCAACAAGGGAAGGGAGGAAGCAGTAGGTCAGCCACTGAGCCAGGCCTCCTGCTGCACACTTGGAGCAGCCCCTTTCCTCTGGAAACAATTCTGACACAAAATATTGTTCGGTGCTTCTCCTAAGAAAGGTTTGCATCAGTCAGAAAGTAAACATGGAGTAAAGGCAGCCAACTTACTGAGGTCCCTGGCTCCTCTGCAGGAGAGTAACAGCCCTGGGGACAAGCAGCTGAGCTCCAGCCTTCCCTCCTCTGCCCCTGCAATTCCCTCTGTGCTCTTCTGTTCTTCTCCCCCCTCCACCTTCCATTTGGCTCCTCCTCCCTCCCTGCTGCTCCCTCCTCCAATCTTGCCGCCCCTCTTTCTTTCACTTTCTCACTCCTTGATTCCTCCAGCCCTCCCCTGTCTCTTCCCTTCCCCTCTTCCTCTCCCTTCCATGTATTTACCGTCCACTTTCACCTTTGGACACCTGAACAAGGTGACAGAGGCTAAAGGTGGGTGCCTGTGTTTACCATCATCACAAGTTTTCAACTATAATCCTTTAGGATGCCTGTGGCCCCCACCACAGGGCATATGGAAGAGTAGCCTTCTAGACATTCCCTACAACAATTCTTTATCTCCATAATAAGTCAGATAATTGTGAACCTGTGTCACTCACCAAGCTTCCCAGAGAGGTCCACCCAATTGCTTGCTACCACACAGTCATACCAAGAGACAAAACCAAATCTGGTCCAGGTGTCATCTTTCTTCCCATCAGGAGGCCTTCCAAGTCTGAGGTGCAAACCACCCTGTTTTCTCAGGCAGCACTAAAATCCTTCCCTGTTTGTCCTTCTCCCTCCTGTTCCCAGGGGTGCCGAGGCTGTGGCACCACTCCAGATGTCTCCAGAGTTGCCCTTCATTTATTCCTCTTGAGACCTGTTTTCATGCACCAGACTCAGACAAGAGCCTTTGGATTTTCCAGACTCACCAAGAGCCTCGGTTAGGGCCTCTGCTAACTACTGCTGCAAAAGTCCTAAGTTCTCCTATATGGAGGTGGGGTGTGGGAGAGTGTAAGAAATGAGGGTTCCCTTCTAATGGATCCTTCTGCAGAGAGAGAATGAGAGAAGGCATTCTGACCAGACAGGGCTCAGCCCACCCCACACCCTGCTGCACTTCTGTCTTGCTCTGTGACCGGGGATGTCCATGCCCCACTCTGGATCTTGGTTCTCTGTAGGGAGATTGGCTGCTGCAGCAGCACTTCCTCCAGTGCTGGTAACAGGGAGCACATGACGTGGTGCAGCCATCTGCGGGGCCAGAGCACCTCCCATGCACCTTCAAGGAAGCAGCAGGGGCTGCAGAGCAGGGACACAATGCAGCCCTGTGGGAGGACACTGAGATGCTCACAATACCACCTGGCCCTCACAGAATCAAAAGATCTTTCTTTTCAGCCTGGAGAACAGACAAGATGGTGATCCTCCTTGTAGCTCTGGCACTCCTGATGGCAGGGATCTGATGAAATGTTGGCTGCCAACAAGATGGCACACCAGGAAGTACCACTGAATTTCAGGAAGACTAAATCAATGGGACACGAGTGGACAGTCTGACACTGGCCTCCACCAACACTGATTTTGCCTTCAGCCTCTACAAGGAACTGGCTTTGAAGAATCCAGGTGAAAACATTGTCTTCTCCCCACTCAGCATCTCAGCTGCCTTGGCCATCCTGTCCCTGGGAGCAAGCAACAACACCCTGGAAGAGATTCTAGAAGGTCTCAAGTTCAATCTCACAGAGACCCCTGAGGCAGACATCCACCGGGGATTTGGACAGCTCTTCCTCATGCTCAGCCAGCCAAATGACCAGGTGCAGATTAGTACAGGCAATGCCATGTTTGTTGAAAAGCACATACAGATCCAGGTAGAGTTCAAGGAGAAGGCAAGGGTGCCGTACCGTGCCGAGGCCTCAGGTGTTGACTTCCAGCAGCCTCATGAAGTCAAAACCTCATCAATGAGTATGTGAGGAAACAGACCCATGGGAAAATCAAGGACCTGATCTCAGGCCTGGATAAGAGTACGTTAATGGTGCTGGTGAATTACATCTACTTTAAAGGTAAGGATGGGCCCTGTTTTATGGGGGTTGGAGAAGGCGTTAGCTGTGCACCTTGTGTTCATACACTGAGCACTGGAAAGGAGAGGCTCATGGCCTTGGAGACAGGGGTGCCTAACTTCTGATTACTATCAGGCCTTACTTCTCCTTTGACATATTTTGGCTTAGATGTGATTCCTGACTCATACTCCACATATGTGGCCTCAGTCTAAGAGAGATGAATTTGACTTTGACTTACACTTACTGACTATCTGAATATATAGACCACTTGTCCAGTCCTATCTGACAGTGTAGAGGTCAGGTCTTCTCTCTGTAGACAAAATATCTCGGTCAGTGTTCTATTGCTGTGAAGAGACACCATGACCACGGCTACTCTTATAAAGGAAAACATTTAATCGGGTGGTGGGCTCACTTCCAGGTCAGAGGTTCAGTCCATTATCATCATGATGGGGCATGTCAGTGTGCAGCAGACATGGTGCTGGAGTGGTTTCTGAGAGGCCCTGATCTTGTAAGCAACAGGAAGTGGTCGGAGACACTGCGTGGTATCTAGAGCATTTATGAGACCTCAAAGCCTCCCTCCTCAGTGACATGCTTCCTCCAACAAGACCAAACTTACTCTAACAATGTCACAACTCCTAATAATTCCACTCCCCGTGAGCTTATGGCGGCCAATTGCATTCAATCTCCACAGAAGGAGTCCCTCACTCAGCCCACTCTGTCATGTCTAATACTCTCCTACACAGTCCATCTGCTGGTGAACCTCATCCTGAGGAGGATCCAAGTCCTTCCCGAACCAAGAATCCTGGCTATACCAATCTTAATAGGAAAGTAGCACGGTTGACAATTATCTAATTGCCCTGTGGGGAGTGTCTCTGCTGGGCCTCTCCTCTGAGCCTTTTCTGTAAGGCTGGACCCGGACATGGAAAGTAAGGACTGGGGAGAAGCCATTAGTAGGAGGTGTCAGCCAGTCAGTGATCTGTGTTTAGTGTCTGACTGCTTCGTGGAATTTTGGTCTGTAAAATAAAGAGCACAGGTAGCCTGCAGGGTCACAGTGCTGAAGACACGCTCCTGGGGCAGGGGGACTAGAAAGTTGGGAGACTAGGCTGAAATTGCTGCGGGTAAGGGTTGGTAGGAATACATCCAGGGGCGACACCTGCAAAACTCTGCCAGACAGACCAAGGAGTGGGGCAAAGGCCCACACAATGATGCCTGATAAAAAGCTCCATGAGACCAGACCTGGGATGGATCTGGGACTCTGAACTTTGGATAGTGCAGGGCAGGTGGAGTGAAGCCTCTGGGAATATAGACAGAAAACCTATTGGTGGAGCTGAAGTACACAGGCCATGCCAGCGCCCTGTTCATCCTCCCTGACCAGGGCAGAATGCGGCAGGTGGAAGCCAACCTGCAGCCAGAGACCCTGAGGAAGTGGAGGGACTCTCTGAGGCCCAGGTGCATGTCCTCTGGAGCCAGAGCTGGCCTGGAACCCTATTCTACTGTCAGCCTGAGGCCAGTGTCCCTGTACCTCAGAACCTCGCTAGCACCCAGTGTAATGGGTGGAGAGTCAGCAGGGACAGGCAGAATGGGGGTGGATTTACCTCTGCTGACTCTGTAGTGTGGGGACTGTGTTTTCAGTCATTTTGTTTTTCTCAAGATGGCATCAGCTAGAGCAGGAGCTGAGGATTCCTCTGTGTCTCCCAGGCTGTAATTACATGGAGTCTTGAATGGGTTTTGGAAGGCAGGAGTTGACAAGAAATCAGCTCTGAGAATCAGCTCTGCCCTATGCAGCCAACTCATCCCCTCATCACTCATTCATTCACCAGTGTGAAATGATGACCTGAAGACCTACTATGTGCCATGTTCTGGTTAAACCCAGAGGGTATATCAGAGACTAAAGCACAAAATTTCTTACCCTTGTGGGCCCATCATGCAACTGAGGAGGAAAGATTAGGAAGACAGAATTGCAACCAATCATTATTTGTCTTGTTAAAAGGTGATGAGAAGTAAAATTGGGAAGAAGAAGGTCTAAGGGTAAAAAAAGTAGAGGTCAGACGTGGTGTGCAATTTTAAACAGGTGAAATTTTAAGTGAAGTCCGAGTCCACATGACAAGGGAAGGACTGCATTTGTGAATCAGCGAGCAAAGCATTTTTGGAAAGGAAACAGCTGGTACGAAGCCTCGTTGCCTCTCCAGCACTGATGGATAATTAATGCCATAGGAAAAGCAAATGATGTGATGGAGGCACTAATGGAAAGAGAATTTCTCCCCAGTGAGAGGGCGGTGTGCAGACCTGCCCAGCTACAGTGTGCTTTGAAAGGTTTGAAAGATCGAAACATATAGTTCCGTGATTCATATGTTTCTCTCTCCATTCTCAGGAAGATTGACGAGCTCTCCCTGCCCAAGTTCTCCATCTCCACTGACTACAGCCTGGAGAGAATCCTTCCACAGCTGGGCATCAGGGAAGTCTTCTCCACACAGGCTGACCTGTCTGGGATCACAGGGGCCAAAGACCTCAGAGTCTCTCAGGTAAGCCAAGACACACTGGGTTGTTTTCACTGGTGAATGTGGATGGTGTGTGGCAAGGCAGGTGTGTGGGAGATGGCAAATGTGTGAGAAAGCCTGCATTTCTGAGATTCCCTCATCCTGGGAGACTCGGTTACAACCTAAATACAGATACTCCTGCTGGATACCATGCAGCCAATTCTCCTCTGTCCTGTGAACATAACCTCAGCCAGGAGCTTTGGTGGGAAGGAGCCTGTGCTTGACCGTCGGTTTTCAATCACACCAACCAGCACTGTGGTGCAGATGCCTCCCACAATCCACTGCAGGGCAAAGCCTTCCAGTCTCAGCTTCTTCGCTCACAGCCACCCCAGCACTTCTTGTCAGGCACACAGAACTGGAGCAGTAAAGGAAATAACAACTGATGAATGCAGTTGAGATGAAAACTTAAGCCTAGGAGAGAAGATGCCTTAGGACCTCATGTTACGTTCCCAGATGCACAGCATGGCAATGCCTAGTATTCTGTGCAGTGCCCACTCCGAGCACCAGGCTCTAATCTGTACCCACAGATCATGGCAGTCTAGGAAAGAGAAGTCATACCCCTTACATTACTGCTGTATTTCCCAAGGAGGCTGAAGCTGGCAGGAAGCTGAAGCCTGCACTGGCTGCCAGCACACTGGCTGCACCCTGCGGTTTTTCTGAGAAGTGACCTGTGGAGCAAGGACTGGCATTGCCTATACCCGTCCTCCACTGTAAAGTGGATTTGAGAGCAGCAGAGATTCTCAGAGACTGAGCAGACCCAGAGTGTGCTTCATCTCACACCCTGAGCAGGGATCGGTTGATACCAGGGGTAGAGGTCATGATAGGAACAAGTTCAGGCGCAGCTGAGGCCAGCAGTCAATGCTTGCTCCAGGAATCACTTCTGTTGCACTCCTGGGTCTCCCGTGAGTGATGTCTTTCTCCTACAGGTGGTCCACAAGGCTGTGCTGGACGTGGCTGAGACAGGCACAGAAGCAGCGGCTGTCACGGGAATGATGATGGAGGAATCATCTCTAATTAGGAATCCTTTGAACGTGACTTTCAACAGGCCATTCCTGATGATTATCTCTGACACAAATACTCAGTCTTCACTCTTTATGACAAAAGTCACAAATCCCAAGGGAAATTAGAACTTCCCAAGTGGTGAGGCTTCCTCCTGAGAGCCAGGGATTAAGCCTGTATGTGGGTCTCTATGTGCATTTTGGCCTCCATGCTCTGAGTGGAGAGTGACAGGGACTAACTGTACGGCTCACACATGCACAGAGTCCTGTGGACAGACAGTGTCAGGCTCCCCCACCTCTTTGCAGTAATAGCTTATGTTTCTGAGACTGAGCTCTGACTCCGTGGTGCCTCTCTGCTGCCTCTCCTTTCTGAGCCTCCATCCAAATACCGGGCCAAGGCAGATAGGCTCAGCCCCTATCTGCACTATGGTTATATCTGCCTTCAGCTTCCACAGGCTTCATGGGATTATTCAAGCTTTTAGACCCATTGTGTGAACCTTAGGCCCAGGACTGAGAAGGGAACCCACTGCCCTCTATGTGTTTCCAGCATGTGAGACCAGTGTGTGCACAGTTCCTGCCTCAAACTTTTCCTCACCCAGGCTCTGCCCCCCAGTGTCCCTTCAGGGGCTCCTGGGCCTGCCCACATCTGGCGCTGTTGTGGAGAACCTATTCCTGCTTCTGCATGGAGTCGATTGGTCAGCTCAGCTCCTTTCCCCTACTCTACCTACTTGGGGCAGAGGAGCCTTTACCTAGGTTCTCCACTGGCCAACATCACACAATAGATGGACACCTCTCCTTCCTTACCCAAAAGGTAGGACTATCACAAAATACAATAAATGTATGACTGCACAGAAAGTGGCCAGGTTGTGTTCACTCTGGTCCGATTGGCAGAGGTGTGGCCCTAGAGATACCAGAGTACTAGAAATTGTCACTTACAGTCTGTGATGGGCCTCTAAACTACATGTTATTATCAGTTTCTTTTATGGAGGAGGAACAGAGTTTCGTCATTTTCCCATGACGTCACAGCTAAGCATTATGACTGGTGGGATGTTATTCCAAGTCTCCTCATGCCTGAGTGATGGAGGAGGGTTATCTGTCTATTGTATTATTTTCATTGGTCAATAAAGAGACTGCCTTGGCCCTTTGATAGGACAGAAAATTAGGTAGGCGGAGTAAACAGAATAGAATGCTGGGAAGAGGGCAATGAGCCAGACGCCATGGAGCCAGCCACCAGGTCAGACATGCTGAATCTTTCCTGGTAAGCCACACCTCGTGGTGCTACCACGAGATTATTAGAAATGGGTTAATATCAAGATATGAGAGTTAGTCAGTAACTAACTCTCTAGAGATAATGGGCCAGGCAGTGCTTAAATGAATACAATTTGTGTGTTGTTATTTCTGGGACTAAGCTAGCCGTGCGGGAGCCGGGTGAGGCGAAAAGCAGGCCTGCCCCGCAGCCCCCCACTACACCTGAGGAACAGCCTTCCCCAAACCAGGGTTCTGTGCCCGAGGCATCACCATGGTGGTGGGCAGGTGGAGCATAAAACAAGCGCTGGATGCTTCACAGAGAGCACAAATGAATCTGTGGATCATGTGATCTCTGTGCTGAGGTCATAGGAGGACAAGATGGTGGTCAGATGACCAAAAAAAAGTGCTTTTGACAGGGCACACTGCCATGCAGGCATTTCTAAGAATCCTGGGTGTTTAGCAAAAGAAGAAACTCAACAGATGGCAAAGAGCCTGGTCCTGTGAGGGTCCTCAGATGACTCAGAACTACAGGGAGCTGTGGAGCGGTGAATCACTGTTCCTGTTTTGGGACCCTCATAACTCCTTCCGGCTATAAGATAGCAAGCTGTTCTGGGAAGATGTAGGGTTGTCACGGAGGACAGTTACAGGAACCCCTCGAGAAGTGAGTGGGTGTCAGCTCAGTAATGAGCTGGTTTTGTGCCTAGACAGAGGATAAGAGGAGACCAAGGTGCATTTGGGTTGGGGTGCTTGGTGTCCCTGGAGACTATGTGATCCCTGAAACACTGCTGGAGGCCTGCACAGGGGGGGGGGAAAGGTGTACATTCAATTTGAGACATTCTTGACTCTCAAGGTTCCTAAGAACACACATTGAGCAGGTGGACATGAGGTTTCAGAGGATTACAGCCTTGGGGGATCACACACAAAATTTCTTCTCCAAGTGAGCACTGAGGTACCAACCCAGGAGGAGCATGGAGTGATAAGAAGGGCCCCATGAATTGAAAGCAGCCATGTACCAACAATTCCGATATGTGCAACAGTCAATTAAGGCCCTGAGGTGGCCACCTCATGCACTCCATGGGCACTGGCATGCCTCAGCTGCATCCCTGCATCCTTCCTGGCTTCAGCTCAGGTATCTAAGGAGCCTGGTGCTGCATACATCTCATGCTGCCCATGAGCTGGGTCGTGCAGCTGTGGGAGAAGTCTGAGTCTACCTCTTAGTGAGTCTCTGACACATATATCAGGGTTTCACTTTTGCCCCTTCTATGAGCGTTCCCCAGAACTTCACAAGGAGCTATTACTCTGGTATTGAATCCCCTGCAGGGACAGCCTTGCAATAAAGATAGAAGACTGTGGATTGGGGAAGGGGCATGTTTACAGTAGTTAAGGGTGACCCACCCAATGCGAGGGTCTCAAGGGGCAGCCACTGTGAACTGCTTGATTTGCAGATCACAGCCCAACAGAAGGGTCTTCTGAGAGGATGCTGAGCTGCCATCCAGCTGGCTGCCTCCATCTGTTTTCTGTTGTTACTGAGGACCACTGAGCAGACAGTATATAGAGGGGTGTGTCAGTTAGCCTTTGATCACTGGGACAGCCCATCTGAGGAAACCCACTGAGGGAAGCAAAGGCGTGGATTGAATCACAGCTTCAGAGAGTTAAGATAGGGTCTGCTGGCTTCTTTACTTTAAGCCTGAAGCAAGTCAAACTTTGTGCATGAAAGACATTATCAAGAGGATGAGAGTTTAGGACATGACTAGGTGGGTAAATCATTGATCCCACTCCATGCATAAAACAGATTTTTATGCCCTGAAACCTAAGAAAAATGTCAAGAGTGGTCACATGAACTTGTGGTTGTAGCTCTTGGGAGGCAGAGGCAGGTGAATATCTGGAACTCAATGGCCAGTCAACATAGGTAATTCACTGACTTCCAAGGCTATATAGAAACATTATCCTAAAACCAAGGTGGCTGAGGAATTACAGTTGACATTGACCTCTGACTTTCATAAGAATGTGAACATGGATGTGCACCTATTCACTTATAAACACAAATAACCAAATCATGTAAGTGTTCAAATAGAAAAAGTAGTGGGTTGGTACCGCGCCAGCACGGTCTGGAACCACGAGTCTCGGCGGAGGGTGTCCAGGTTGAATGAAATCCACAGAGCACGAGGTTGAGGTGAAACAGCAGCTCGTTTATTGTTCTGCTGGGGCTAGCTTTTATACCATGGCACCAAATGGGGAGGGGGCTGCGAAGGGACTGTCACCTGACCCAAGGAGGGACTCTCACCTGACCCCAGTAGGGGTCAAGGACTGATCACGTGCATTCCACCTTCACCTGTCCCCAGTAGGGACTGTCACCTGACCCCAGCAGGGATCAAGGAATAATCACGTGCACTCAAACTTCCTCATCTGGTGTGGGAGAATTGTCTGTATTCTGTCAATCATATTTTAATAAAACGCTGATTGGCCAGGCTGGAAGTATAGGCAGGTCAACCAGCCAGGAAGTAGAGGCGGGGCAATGAGAATAGGATAAGGCTAGGGAGGAGGAAACTCCCTCAGCCACTCCTGCGCAGACCACTGAAGAGGCAACATGTAAGCTGACAGCTGAAAAAGGTACCAAGCCACGTGGCTAACATAGATCAGAATAATGGGGTAACATAAGTTATAAGAGCTAATAAGTAGCCTGACCTAATGGGCCAATCAGTTTAGAATCCTATGGAGTCTTGTGTGTGATTTTTCTTTGGGCATGCGGGCTGTGGGGTACTGGGCAGAACAGAAATCCCAACAAGCCGGCCCATCATACTAAACTCATCCAACTCCAGGAGCAGAGGGAAGTTATGATTCTTTGCAGATAAGCACCTCAAATGGGGGCAGGGAAATATAACTCGGGGTAGCAATTCCCACAATTCCCCCAACTTTATTTTATAATGAGGGGTCCTGTCTTAGGTCCTGCAAGGGAAGTACCTTCCCTTACCCATCACTGGGCCCCTATACCCTGTCTTAGGCGGGGGGTCACCCCACAGGTTGCCCGTCCTTGGAGACCCTCATTTTTTCAGCATCTGCAGCCATACCTCATGACTTTCGGGAGAATCATGGGCCAGACTGAGTAACACCTGACGGTGTACAAGCTCAGTCTTGGTGAAGGTGTTTAGAAGTCATTTTAAGAGGAGCAGACCTACTGCTACCCCTACTAGTCCCAAGATCCCCAGGGACAAGGCACCTCCCCATCGCTGTGCCCAACCACCAATCTGGGCCATGGCATTCCACCATCCCTCAGCAGATATAGGTTTAACACGGGTTTCATTAATTGCAATAATCTGATGTACCAAAGAGTGGGTAAAGTTTACAAAGGAATCATTCCAAGGCCCCCTAAGGTAAGAATTAAGGAGTTGCACCTCAATGGACATATTTTTCACTTCCATAAGGGTCACACAGGCAGAATGATAGAAATGAGAACAAGAAGCTTGCTGCACCATCCACAGCACATTAATCTGTTTCTGCAGTAAGGCTGTTTGCTGATTTAAATTTAACATCTCTAATTGAATATGTGAGTCCATGGTATTTTGAGTCTCTAAGGCCTGGGTAACACGGGCAGCAAGAGTGTTAACAGTCTGTGCAGTAGCTGCATTCTGGGACACGGTGATTCCCGCAATGGTGGCAGCTGTGGCTGATATGGTGATGGCTGCGATGACTGCGGCGGTGATTCCGAAGTCTCTTCTCTCTCGATGCAAGATAAGCTCTTGTCCATCATGTGGGTCTTCTACCACCAGGGGAACCAGAGCAGGAATTCTCACCATCAGCATGGACTCATCCATTGGGGACCAGCAGTTGCTCAAAAAGCAGGAGCTGGAAGAACAATCAAGGACACCATCCTCCCCGACCGACCCATTAAAGGAGACAAACATAAAGGGAGGCAGAACACAAGCCAGACTGACAATAGAGAAATTCATTCCCGCTGCATAGTTAATCTGGAGGGATGTTTCAAAGATGTCTGATGTGTTCCATCTGGTTGTAGCATTGAAAGCCAAGCCCCTTTGAAGGGCTAACGGCCTAATATCTGTGCATGCACGAGGGCCACAGAGAAACATGCCCGCGAACGTAGGTGAAACTCCTGCCATATTTGGATTTCTATAGGAATAATCAAAGGCCCCTCTCAAGGAGTTTTTAGAGGTAGGTCGGTGACCAAACCACCATAAATATTTATCTCCCTCCAATTGCCATGGTTCCTTGGGAGCACAATTTCCCCAAGATAATGGTAAGTACAATCTGAAGGATTGTGGCGTCTTCCAACATAAGGGAGCTGGTCTCGGAGGAGTTGGAAGTCCAGAAACATTTCTTTTAAAATTTATTGGGTAAAAGATATCTCTCAATCCAAAACAAGGATGCCCAGAAGAATCAGAAGAAAAGTCTCCCAGAGAATAATTACTAAGGACCACGCATGGTCCAGAAAGAGAGATTCTAGGCATCTCTGAAATATTGCTAATCTTCCAGAAGCAAAGGGCATGAGATATATCAAACATTTAATTACCCAATGAAGATCTTTTTAATGCTATATTTGTTGCAGTAACCCCCAAAGTATAATTGGTGGAATAAAAG